AGAGAGGGAGGGAGGGAGGGAGGGAGGGAGGGAGGTGCCTCTCCGTAGGGTCGCCGTGTAAAAGTTTACGGGAGACGCCAGCCGTGTAACAGCGGTAGGGATGCGCGCCGTGCGGGACCGGTTTGGTATTTCGAACAACGTCTCGTAAACATTGGCGCAGTCTGCGGAGCGCTTGTTACAATGAATGGCGTGCGCCTGTCGCCCTCATCGGAGGAGACGCGGGCCGATATGGTCCGTCTGTAATAAGGGGCGCTTGTGAAGCCGGCCGTAAATGACGCAAGAATCAGCAACACTCTGCGGGGTCGCTGCCGGGTCTCTTTCAGTTGGAAGCTTTCTGAACGGGCGCGGGTGCTTTTTCGAAGTGCCGCAAGCTTTCAAAGCTTGTTTTGTACTGTATATATACAAAAACATTGAAGTGTATTGAGATCTGACCTGCCGTCAAACAAAACGCTCAGTGGTTCTTACAAAGTATAACAAATCAGTTTATGAACGGTTTACTTTTTGTGTGGCAATGTGTTAGTGTTTGCATGAATATGTAAATATGTTGAAAGGCCACGCGTCCGTTTGCTATTTCTCGGAGAACTATAAAAGTTTGAGCTCGCCACACCGTATTGACACACCCCTTGAGTGCCCCACACGTAGCTGAGATTGCGTTTCAGCTACGTACTCTACACATCAAAAAGTGTCAACACAAAGTAACCAATGTACTATACTTATTTGACTTGAATCACTCCCCCCCCCCACCCCCCAGTAAAAAAGAGGAGAATTTAAACAGCAAAGAAACGCCACCACCATTCCCATGCTAATGTGGGTGCACCCACAGCGAGATCATCGTTCAAACCTCTGCCCCTCCTCCTTCTCTTTCTCTTTCGTGACATGGCACAATATCTTTAGACGGGGCCTTCGGGCACGTGTCCCAATTTTTCATCACTTCCCGGGTTCGGGCCGCTCCCTGCACCACTGCTCTGCTTGGGCCGGCCTCTCCGCCCTGCCCGACCCCA